GCCCCCCTGCCGGGCGGGCATCCCTGCTGGGGGACGCGCGGGGGGACGGCAGCGGCAGCCCTGGCTTTGCTTCACCTCCTGCCATCGCAGAGAGAAGCTGCTGCAGACGACAGCGCCCGGTGCCGCGCGGAGGCAGGATTTCCTGGGCGCCGAGGCTGGAGGAGACGGGGTTTGGGCGGCACGTGCTATTCCTCACCCAGTGACAGCGGGTTAGCGGGCGCCAGCAAAGCCCTTCTCCCACGGGAAGAAAAGGGAATGGAAAAGCAGCATCTCACTCCTCCGGTGCCCGAATTGTTTGTGTCGCCGTGACGGCCATGTCCTCGCCTCGCTGGTGGCCCCCGGCCCCCCTTAGTCGAGCGCGAGTCCTCGGGCTGAGGACGCTCCGGGATTGCCTCGGGGGGACGGCGCGGCGCTCTGCAGCAGCAGGGAGGACATCTCTCAACGTCTCCTCCGCTCTCCAGTGACACAAAGGACTGACGTGAACGGGACCGCAAGACCCCGGTGCTTTTGAGCCTTCCAGATACTTGGGGTTTTTTTAATTGTTTTACACCTAAACCACCATCTCTAGCACTGGGAGCAGGCTGGGGTGTGGCAACCCAGGGAGCCTCAGGACCGCGCGGTTGCGATGCTGAGGGGGGGACGACACACGTTCAAGGTCGATGTATGCGATGAATCGTGTGGCTGAGCCGGGGGGGCAGAGCCCGTCAGGTCCCGTTTTAACAGTGAGAGACAGTGACTGGTGCAGAAATCAGATCCCATTTTCCTCCTCGAATTAGCACGGCTGGGGATCTGCGCTGGCAGCTACGGGCGAGCAGCCTGGTCGTGGCTCCGGCACGGCACAGCTGAGGCAGGCTATAAATTCTGCAAGACTTCTGTAAAGGCTTTCGGGAAGGGGGTGGCAGAAACCCACTGACCTCAGAGGGTGGCTCTGACATTCGTTAACCCTTCGGTTCACAGAAAGCTGCTTATTCCCATCCCCGGTGCGCGTGGGGCTGGGGACGAGAGGAGGCAGGCAAATGTCCTTCTGCCCGGCCCTGCATCCCGCCCGGGGGCTGCTCCCCGCTCCCCAGCCGGTTCCTGCACCTTCTGTTCCCGGTTGCCTTTGTGCCGCTGGAGGAAAACCCCGCCAGAAGAGGAGAGTTCAGAAGAGCCCCAGGGTCACTCGGGCAGGGCAGACACCCTCTTTCCTCTGCTCCATCGGCCCCTCTCTGCTCTCCGCGGGATGTGGTGGTGCAGGAGCCCTCTCCGAGCATTTTCCTCCCTCATTGACTCGCTACATCTGCTTTAAAATCCAGCCCGGGGCCATCTCTGCAGTCAGGCTCCCCTTGGAAGCAGCACTTTCCTCCAGATCCCCATTACGTGCTCCAGCCTCGAGGCCGGAGGGAGCGTGCGTGAAAGATGCGGCACAAATCCCTGGTGTAGCAGGCGAGGAGGGTGTTTTCCACACATCCCAGCTTGCTTGGATTGCTTTGCTGGGCCTGAGAGGTCGGGAAGAAAGGAGCTGGGACAGCTCTGCCGGAGCCAGCGTTTCCCAGGCCACGGGCAGGGACAGAGCATCGTTCCCTGCCACCCGCCCAGGCCAGCGGCCGGAGGGGAGAGCCCTCCGGTATTTGGGGTGGCCCGGGCGGCTCCAGGCTTGCCTGTGCCACGCTGGCGGGTTTCTGGCACAAAGCAGCAGTTGAGGCTTAGCATGGTGTGCGATCTGCCAGGGCAGCCCGCCGGCCCCAGCTCTGGGTTGCCGTGTCCTTGCAACGCGGAGGTTCGGGTTTGGATGTGAACTCGCTGGGTTTTATACCCAGAAATCCCCCGTGTTTTATCCACAGGGGGACTTTGCTCCTCAGGGACGTGGGAAGGAAACACCGACGGCATTGCCTCGGGGGTCGGCACCCGGGGCACCTGCCTGCAGCCCGGCCGAGCCCTGCCCTGGAGGGCTGTGCGTTGGAAAGAGTTCACTTCCAGCCAAGCATTTCAATGTGTCTGATCTGCTTTAATATTCAAACCGTTGGCTTTAAAAATAAAAAAAAAAAAAGCTGCCCATTTATATTCCCCTCACAGCTGTGCTTGCAGCGTGGCTGGGGTATGAATGGATGCATTCCTCTTACCCACGGCTTATCTCCGCAGAGCAACCTCCGCTCTCGGACCGGCTTCGGCTTCAAGGCTTTCCACTCTCCGGGCTGAAATCCGACAGTGTCAGCACAGGCCCGGCTGGGAGCTCTTAGCATCTCAGAGCTGAGAGTCGTCTTCTCCTCCCCACCCCCAGTGCGTCCTGCCTCGGCTGCCTCCCTCCTGGGAAGCCCCTTCCAGCCGGCAGATCCCTCCCCATCCCGCCGCACACGCAGGCAGCAAACTGGAGTCACCAGCTCCAGCCTGCCGCAGCCTTTGCTGCCGCTCAGAAAAAAACCTCATTTACTCAATTGAAGCTTCCCTGTTGATTTAATTAATGCAAATTGAGACGTGTTAAAACCTCCTTGTAATTACCGTCACACTTACTGTCGTGGGGTTTTTTCCCTTTTTCTTGTATTTTTAAGGAAAATACTAAGGCCTGGGTTCACAACAGCTTAGGAGGGTCCGCGGCCCTGCAAGCTGAGCCCAGTGCATGCAGCGAGAACCGCACGAGCTCTAGTAGAGGAGCTCAGTGTCGGGCCGTGGGCTGCGATACCAGCCCTGAAAACCAGCGCGGATGCAGGTGCGGCGCTGACCCCGCTCCCAACCCCAACCCGGGCCGCAGCCGCCCGAGCAGAGTTCCGTAGATCCCTTTGGTTGGTGAGTATATGCTTGGTTTTATGTTGATTTTTCTATTGGCAAATCAAAACTTGGCTCTGGGTGAAGTTCTGAAGAAAAATCGAGTTTCTTAATCTCTGAAGCGAATTGTTATCATCTAACGCGTCGGCTTCCAGGCTGCCTTGAGCTGAAAACCCCAGATGCTCACAGCCAGGAGGGATGCAGCTCAACATTGTCGTCTTCCCAAGCACCAGTTCCCCCCGCGTGGGGCTACAGGGCAGGACCAGGGCTTTGCCGGGCGGGCAGATCCTCGGGATCCGGTGCAGGGCACGTGCTTGCTGGCTTCGAGCTGCGATGCTGCAGGGCTGGGCTGCAGGAGTGATGCTTGCTGAGTTCCCCGGCCTTCAAAATGCAATGCCGTGGGCCACGAGGGCTCCTGTTCTCTCAGCCAGCAGCATCAGGGGTATTCTGAGGGCAGAGCTGTTTTTTCGACAGTTTTCACTCTGCAGCAGAAGCCCCGTTTCAGGCTGGAGCGGTCTCTTGCTGACCCTAGAGATGATTCCTGACTAAACGGGGGAAAAAAGGGCTGAGAAGGGAAACGGAGGTGCTGGAGGAGAGAAGGGGCTGCGTGAGGTCTCTCTAGTTCCAGGCTACTCTGAAAAAGCCCCTGAAGCAGATTGGAGAGATTGGGTTTGGTTGATATCCAGATTTCCCCCATTTTAGGAAGGACTGGCTGAGCTCAGCCCCGCGGATGCTGGCTCCTGCTTTGCGCAGAGGGGGGAGCTGGGCGAGGCAGGGACCCCAAATGTCCCATCCTCCTTTTTAACCCTTTGGCTTACGTCTTCACCCTGGACTGGGGTGCGGGGAGGTGCTGAGACTGCCGGCACCCCTCCCCGGGACATGGCAGCACCGGCCCCCCCAGCCCGCCAGCTTCAGGATGCCTGCGTCTCCTCGCGTTGATAGCGGCTCCCTAACGACATTCATCACGCAGGGCCCGGGCTGGGCTTTTTTGTGTGGTTTGTTTTTTTTTTTTAATTAAAATGAAGCACTTAGGTTGGCAATCGCAACGTAAGCGTGTCTCTCCGGTTATTGATTTCAGCGTACGGCAGCAGTTTGCTGGTTTATTGCATAAAAGACAGAGATGTGTTTTGCCTCCAGAAAGGCTGGCTTTGTTTGCCTGTTCTCACAGCTGCAGTGGATGTGTCTGGTCT